AGAGCAGATGCGGGGTGCAGAGCAGACCCGTGGTGCAGAGCAGACGCGGGGTGCAGAGCAGGGCTGGGGTGCAGAGCAGACGCGGGGTGCAGAGCAGGGCCGGGGTGCAGAGCAGACCCGGGGTGCAGAGCAGATGCGGGGTGCAGAGCCGACCCGTGGTGCAGAGCAGACGTGGGGTGCAGAGCAGGGCCGGGGTGCAGAGCAGACGCGGGGTGCAGAGCAGGGCCGGGGTGCGGAGCAGACGCGGGGTGCAGAGCAGACGCGGGGTGCAGAGCAGACCCGTGGTGCAGAGCAGACGGGTGCAGAGCAGGGCCGGGGTGCAGAGCAGACGCGGGGTGTAGAGCAGACGCAGGGTGCAGAGCAGACCCGGGGTGCAGAGCAGACGCGGGGTGCAGAGCCGACCCGGGGTGCAGAGCAGACGGGTGCAGAGCAGGGCCGGGGTGCGGAGCAGACGCGGGGTGTAGAGCAGACGCAGGGTGCAGAGCAGACCCGGGGTGCAGAGCAGACGCGGGGTGCAGAGCAGGGCCGGGGTGCAGAGCAGACGTGGGGTGAGAGCAGACGCGGGGTGCAGAGCAGGGCCGGGATGCAGAGCAGACGCGAGGTGCAGAGCAGGGCCGGGGTGCAGAGCAGACGCGGGGTGCAGAGCAGACACAGGGTGTAGAACAGACCCGTGGTGCAGAGCAGACGCGGGGTGCAGAGCAGGGCCGGGTGCAGAGCAGGCCCACAGTGCAGGGTCCTTTCTGTGGAAGGCAGGGGTGTTGGGGGCTGGGAGGGAGGGAGCAGAGGGCTCAGGCAGGTACACCAGCCCGGGGGGTGGGGATTGGGAAGGGGCTGGGTGAGCAGCTACTCCTCCTTGAGGGTGGGGAGGAGCTGGGTGGGGGGTGTTGAGGACACAGGAGGGAGCAGGCTGCTGGTGGGAGGGGACCTCGGGGCTCTGGTGGGGAAGGGGGCTGCTGTGGAGACAGACCAGTGGTGATCTGGCCATTTGCTGTCCTTACTGTGCCTCCCACCTGCAGCGTTACCAGCTCAGCGTGTCTGGTTTGGTGAATTTGCCGGGTGACTGATGGGAGTAATGTGGTTCTAGCTCCCCTTTCTGGGTGGCTAGTGGGGTGGGGCATCTTTCTCTGTAGCCCTGGGCTGTTTGGGGTCTGCCCTGTGCTTTCTTGGAGGAAATGCCCTTCATGCACGGTTCCTGGTGGGAGGGTAGGAACGCTCCCATACTTGCTGTAAATGTTTTCCGAAGCTGGCACTTCAAAGTTGGCTGTCGGATGGGAGTCCTGTTTCAGTCAGTGTTCTCTCTGATTTCCTTTGCAATTCTTTGCTTGTTTAGAAAGTCACTTTGCCTCGTGAGAGCAGATGAATACGCCCTCACAGTCTGCTTCTGATGGCTTTGTCTTTTACATCCGACTCTTCAGACTGCCTGCACTTTGGTTCGGTGTTTGCTCTGAGATGAAGAGTGAACTTCCTATTTTCAAAAGCATGTGTCGGGGGCTTTGTGGGCTCCGGCTCTGCTCCTGGGACCGTGGCACGTGGCAGCCATGGCAGCCGGTGGTCCATCGAGGGGCCTGGAGCTGCGGTGGCGGACCCTGGCCAGGGGACCAGGGCACACAGGGAGGAGGCGCTTGGGGTCCGGGCAAGCGGCTCACCGCGTACGACAGGCGCGTGGTGACCCTCCCATTACTGCAGGGCTGTTGCCGGAAGATTCACGTAGGGGCCCTGATGCTGCCGCAGGCGGAACGAGCGCTCGGCCAGCCTCAGCGAGGACGGGGTCAGTGGTGGGGGACGGGTGTCCCCGTCACGAGGCACGTTCCTTGTCTTTGATTGAGAGAAAATTCACGTAACATAAAACTAACCATCTTAAAGTGAGCACTTCGTTGGCATTTAGTACCTTCACGCTGTTGTGCAAGCATGGCCTCTATCCGGTTCCAGAACATTTTACCCCAGAAGGAGACATGCGGGGTGCAGAGCAGACCCGGGGTGCAGAGCAGACGCGGGGTGCAGAGCAGGGCCGGGGTGCAGAGCAGACGCGAGGTGCCTCCCCCTCCCCACCCCATTCCTTTTCTCTCCCTCCCCCCCTTCTCTATCCCTCTCTGTCCTCTGTCCTGCTCCCCCAGGCACCACAGCTGCTCTCACTTGGTCCCCAGCCCTCGGGGTCACAGTCTCTGCATGGGTCATCTCCCCGTCTCATACAGATGTGATGATACAGGGACAGGACACGGCAGGGACCGTAAGTCGGGCCTGGCTCTCAGCCTGTCAGCGCCCCTTGTCCTGGATCTGTCACTGGACCTCAGCCCGTAACTCTGAACCCCTGCGTGGGCCTGGCGTATGGGGCGGCTCTAGGGCCTGCTCCCCATGCCCGCCTTTGATGGAGAAGGCTGAGTCAGCTGTTTCTCCGGTCCCTCCAAGCCTCTGTTGCGTAGCCCGCAGCCCCAGCACGCACACCCACGGAGGCGAGGACAGGCGAGGCCTCAGGTGCCCTGATGCCCCACGTCTGTCCCTCTGTCCTGTCCCTCTGTCCGGAGAAGTCCTTGGGAGCCCAGCTCTTGTCCTGACCCAGTAGTGGTCTCCATAGGGAGGTGACCTCCAAATCGGCAAGACTGGTGCTTGGGCTCAGGTGGCCCTTCACCGGGCTCCTCCGGAGGGCATGGCGTGGCGCCCGCCCTCAGGCACGTGCACGTTTGGGATTTTCTCTGACCACCTGCCTACTGAATCTCGTGGGGTGCAGC